ACGCCTTTATTTACGATACCTGTATACTAATACTTCCACACGCCATTATTTACATTACTTGTATACTAATACCTCCATATGCCATTATTTACATTACTTGTATACTAATACTTCCACACGCCATTATTTACATTACTTGTATACTAATACTTCCACACGCCATTATTTACATTACTTGTATACTAATACTTCCACACGTCATTATTTACGTTACTTGTATACTAATGCTTCCACACGCCATTATTTACGATACCTCTATACTAATACTTCCATACGCCATTATTTACATTACTTGTATACTAATACTTCCACACGCCATTATTTACATTACTTGTATACTAATACTTCCACACGCCATTATTTACGTTACTTGTATACTAATACTTCCACACGTCATTATTTACGATACCTCTATACTAATACTTCCATACGCCATTATTTACGTTTCCTGTATACTAATACTTCCACACGCCATGTTACATGTTCTCTTTGTTACATATACAGTTACAACTGAACACATCTTCTCTAATATATATTCAAATATAATTTAAAACACCTTCTGCGTGTTAGATATTCAGTTATAATTCAACACTCCTGCATATTACATATACAGTTACAATTGAACACACATTCTGTAGGTTATATACACAGTTATAGCTGCAAACACCTTCTCTATCTTACATATGTAGTTATAATTCAACACACTTTATCTACATTACATATACAGTTATAATTTCACACACCTATATATCAAGTATACAGTTATAATTAAACACACCTCTATGTTACATATACAGTTATAATTAAAGACACCTTCTCCATGTTAGATATAAAGTTATAATTTAAGACACGTTCTCTCTGTCAGATATACAGTTATAACTCAACTCAATACACCTTCTCTGCGTTACATATAGTTATAATTCAACATACATTCTCTATGTTACATATAGTTATAAACACACTTACATGTTACATATACAGTTATAATTCAACATAGCTTTGCTATGGCACACACAGTTGTAATTGAACAAACCTATATGTTATGTATACAGTTGTAATTTAAGACACCTTTCTATCTTATATATATAGAGTTATAATTCGACAGTTTCTCTACGTTACATCTATCTATCTATATACTTCTAAAACACTGAGATTGTTTGCTTGCTTGTCTGTAATTAAATACAGCAAAAACGGCGCATAATAGCGCCATATTTGTAATGAAATGAGAATAGAAACAGAATAAAACATGTTTCGTTAAAATCGGGTTACCGGGCTAGCCCCGTTTTTCGGGTCACTTTTATGAACATTTCTAGATGAATTTAGGTATATTAGATGGCGCCACATATAGGTTTATCTAGCTATCTATTCATTTTCCACCTGATGAATCACTTTAAAATATCTTCTATACAACAATATATGCACAACT